CCACAAATTTAGCCGATGTTTAATTACAGCGCTTCGAGTGCGGCTTTTGCCTCGGCTCGGCTGGCTCCCAGTGGCATCGTACGCTGCATTACCGCAATTATCTTAGTGTGGCCACAATGCAGTAATAAACCATAAAGACGATGCCATAAAGCATGCCGGCAGCATTGGCCTGCCTGGCATGCGAAAGGGTGGTAGGGGGGGGGTCGAGGGGGTGCTCAGACTTAAAGGGTTGCCGCCTTGCCAATGGGGCTCGACTGGCCGTGAACTAACTAACAAACTCTTAACTTTTTAATGCACAACTTTTATGTAGCGGCTGGCTGTAAATTTGGGCCAACTGATTACGAGCGCCGACCAATGAAAGACCAAATAACAATGGCCAAACAATGAGCCGATCTCGGGCAGCAGCGGCCTGCGGCAGTGGCCCACAATGCCAAGTAATCAGAAATGAGAATGGAAATTTTACGTATGCCTACTTTAATGGGTTTCAGTTACCAAACTGTTGGCTAGCACACACGCAGAGAAAGAGAGGAAGGGAGAGAGAGAGAGAGAGAGAGAGAGAGAATGAGCAGCACATATGTGTGTGTATGTGTCATTAATATAAGTCGAAGGGTTTTCTTCTTTCGTCTATGATTTATAGTTGTAATTAAAATCTATGCGAACCTCAGCTCCACAGAGAATTGTGCATAAGAATGTGAATATGTGTGTGCTAGTGTGTGTGTGTGTGCGTTTCGCCACAATAAGCCGTTAAGACTTTTGTTAAAAGGCATAAAAAGACGATCACACAGAGCACAGCTTAAAGCGCCAAACGAATCCTTTTGTGCCGGAATTTAATTAAGCCAAATCTCACTAAGCATATACACACACACACACACACACACATAGCACACACGCACCCTGGTGCGTATGTGTAGAACAGCTGGGGTAGCATCAAAAGATGACAATGCCTGTCCAGCCGCGCACAATATTGCTTTATTGTTTTAAGCCCCCGGCTATGCCAGCCCCAGCATAACTGTTGGCCGCCATATAGGGGCGACCTCGTCTGCTATCTTTTGCGTACAGCTGGCTTGTGTGCAAGCATTACCCAACAACAACAACAACAGCTAAAAGCAAAGAGTGAAAAGAATATCCAGTTTTATGTACCGCAAGATTAAATACCCTTGCCCAGCCCTCATAATTTCAAAGTCTCGTTCAGGCCAACTGAGCTGCATCCTCACTGGCTAGCCATTAGCCATTAGCGCGAGCCATCAGGCTTAAGTAATCAAATAGTATATTGATGTGCCCCAAACCACATCCGATATTAGCATGCATCAAACCCATGGCACTTGGCGGAAGTGGTTGACCAGAAGCTTTGGGCGGACTTGAAGTCATTTAGACAATAATTATAATAAATGTTTTTCAATGGAAATTTAACTTTGTAGAGAAACGGTTAGGATATCTGAAAAAGCTTTATATCAAAAAGCTATATATTAATTTCTGTATATTTTTATATTTATATAAACTTGAAATTTCAATCTTGGGAAAATTTTTGCGGCACATTTCAAGTCATATGGAATTTCTCTCTCACTGTCTCGCTCGCTGCCTTTCTCTCTCTCTCTCTCTCTCTCTCTCTCTCTCTCTTTATTTTAACATTTCACTTAAGCCCCCACCTCAGAGTAAATTTCAACATAAACTCTCCCAATAAGCACAGCGTATGCTCTAGTCGTGCACTTCCGCCTCGCCGGACCTCAATTGTTTAGACAAGTATTGTTAACTTGTTACATGTGCAACACTGATAGTGCTGTGCAACACAATGGCAACATTTTGCTATATTGTAATAGTTAATCTGGCTTTTTCGATCAACAAAATTAAAGAAGCAAACCGAAATATGTTGTGCGAAAAATATTTACCAACTAATTTAAGATAGTTGAGAGCTCTGGCACTTGGCAGCATTGTTTGGGCGCAAAGAGTTGTGTTAAATGTATTTCAATTATGCCACAAACAGCGCAAGTTCAGCTCAAGTTCATATAACTATTTGGTATTCATGCCTGGAATGTGCTGGAGCGGGGCAAATGCTTCCTCCCGCTTTCTGGGCGAACTGCAAACAAAAGTTTGAGCAAATCCAGCACGCTGAAGCTCATCAGCTCAAGTTGTTTGTTCGCAATATTTAACGCACTTTGCTTAAATACTGATTACAGTCGACGAGGAGCCATAATCTTTATGTGCACATAATGCATAAAACAGACGAATGAGTACGTCAATTGATTTCGAATCACAGTCTCTGGGTGACAGTGCACAACTTTCCGAGCAATGAATCAGCTTTATGACTTAGGTCCCGCAGTTTTGGCAGCTTAGACGCATTTATTTCATTTGATTAAACATTGAGGGTTGGCTTGCTCTTGTTTCTTTTGTTTTTAAATAATTAATTAATTAGCCGGCACTTGAGACAAAGCCGACGCCTGAGTGTTGACCCACAGCATTCAATGACCCCCAAAGAGTAGCTGTCCAATGGCCCGTGGCAATTGATGGCTAGTTGGACCCCGCTAAGGATTATCGCCCCATATCATACATACTATACACGCGT